CTTTTTTTTCCGAGTATCAACTCTCTCTCTCTCTCTCTATATATATATGTGTGTGTGTGTGTTTAATTTTTCTTTGACTCAAATTTTCAGATCCAATGGAAGGCGCCGGATGGACAGGACGTGGATGGAATTCTGTGCAACGCCAACACACCGTAAGATATATGCAGTTCACCTTTTGCTACATTTCATTACGTAATAAAGGACACTAATTGACTAAACGTTGATCTTCGTGCTTCATTGATATATAGTGTCAATCTGCGGTTCAATTCTATAACAACTGTTTTGACTTACTATGGTCGACCAGTGGTGGATGCCTATTGCAGCGACGATAACTGCTCCGAAATCCTTGGCGTGAAGTTTGTAAGTTTTTTACTCTTTTTTTCTTTCTTGCTTTGTGTTTATATATACTAATTAAATAACCACATCGTCTATGATATCTCTTTCACTTACTGTTTCGGGCGGTCAAGTTATGAATGAGCTTCCGGTTGAGGTTTACGTAGGGGAAGGACAAGAAGCGGTTTTTCTTGACTTGTAAGTTTTATTCCCCACATCAATTACTGAATCACATTCCAAACTAGAAAACTGTTTTTCGAATGAAAATGAAACCTGCAGCGGGGTTGAAAAGAACGAATTGCTGTATTGGAATGGAGAGCAGGCGGTTTGCGCTGACGAGCAATTCGCTAACGATGACGAATGAATCCATGGCAAACGAAATCTAGACAGAAATTCAAGTCGAAGTCACAAGGGAAACTACTGCTGTTGCCTGTTGGTATTTTTTTTCATTTTAGCTTTGAGTTTAGTGCTAAATTCTACAGGAGGGGATCCAACATTTTTTGCAGAGAGAATCTTTGATGTGCTTCATACATGGTTTTGCATTTTATTTAGTATATAAATGCTCATTTCTACTGATTTTTGTTGTTGTCATTTCTTATGCTATGCATGCAATGCATGTAGTTTGTTTGCTGCATTTTAACCTAGAAATACAATTTCATACATGTAAATTCTCAAATCACATTTATATTTAGATCATTAATACATTAGATTAAAAGTTGAAATTTATGTAAGTTCTCAAATCTATGTTATAGCATTCTCTTGACATAGAATCTCGATATTAGATGGTTGATAATTGAGTCCAACATCTAAAAGGTGATTCATCTCATACAAAAGTCGAAAATTCGCCATGAATTATCCACTATCCTTCTTTATGTGCGTGACTTGTGTTGATAATAATGAAGTATCTAATTTCAACATGTGCTAAATAACAAAAATAAGATTACAGATAAATTGACTACCCCTGGTAATTTTGATGTTCTCTACTTTCACAGTCCGCCTCTAACAATCAAGGAGCCGTTGCAAGCTGATAGTAGCCGTTAAGTGATATGTACTTTGACTTCTTCGTTACTTTACCAAATTAAATAGTTTCATTGGGCAAACTATACATTTAGTACCTAAATTATCATTTTTTCATTTTAGTACCTAAATTTTCAAGTTTTTCAAAATCATGCCTAATATTTAGTTTCTATTTCATTTTACTGCCTTACAGTTAAAAACTTAACACATTAAGCAACTAAACTATCAATATTGATTCATTTTAGTATCTAAACTTTCAATTTTTTCTAAATTTAACGTTAAATTTAGAATGGCTACTAAAATGAAAAAAAACTAAACTTTAGATATAGTTTTAAAAAATTGAAAGTTTAGTTACTAAACGCGTAATTTACCCTTAAAATTTTGGACCAACGCAATGACTTTTACGTCACTCTTGCTCTCATACAGCCTGCTGTCTAAGCTTGGAGCTCACCGAGTCATTGCAAAGACCACCGAACCGACTCAGAATCTCTGCAAGTCAACGCTATATTTGTTCCTCGCACTCGCCACTTCCTTCATTGCGTATCGCTTATCAATCCTTTGTAATGTCTTGTTCCTTGTCTTCATCCTCGTCTTACACTCCCAAAACCGATAACGAATCTATCCGCCGTCAACGAATTAGCTCTAGTAAGCTCTATAACCCCGATGTTTCTTCCAAGGTTACATTTATTTTTCCAATGATTTTTAAATTTTTTACATATATAGTTAAATTGTTTTGTTTCTAATTTGGAATATTTGTATTTTAGGTTCCGGTTATCTATTCTTATTACTATATCAGCTTCCTCGGACTTGAGAAATTCTAAGATTTTGAATTTCTTTTAGTTAGTTATTAGCGGTTGACGCATTCGATTCTTCAAAATGGGGTCGGATATGTCGGTTCTTGATTTGTGAAGGTTATCTGGAAAAAAGCTCTATTGTTGAGCCATTGGAAGCTTCCACAGATGATTTACTTGAGGTATTTGGACTCTCCCCTCACTTTGTTTATATGCACCGAATACACTAAATTTTTATCCCGGTTTTATTATTTTTAGTATTATTATAATAATTATAATTATTTTATTATTATTATTATTAAATAATTTTATTTATTTACAGGCTCAAATATTAAATCCCAAGGCCCAATTACAAGACTCAAATGTGTAATCCTAATCTCAATTAGGGTTTACATCCCAACCACCGCTGCCTCAACTATCCAGCTGATGTCGACGCCTCAAACGCCAAGTGACCCAACCAACAGCTGCCGACTCTTTGCTGCCACGACACCACCATCGCTGAAGTCTCCAGAACCGCCACGAAGCCACATATGTCACTTCTCTAGGGGTGAGTCACCACCATAGCTATGGTGACTCACCAAAGCTTCCCCCTTTGGACTGGTCCGAGGAGAGCCTTGAGGTAGGTCACCACCAAACCTGTAAAAAAAGGGAGAGGAAGAATCCGAGGAGAAACAACCAAGACAACACCCAGCAATCGAGAGACCAACAAGAAAAAAAACAACAAGCAATCAACAACAACACCAACAAAAAAAAAACACAATCGAGAGAAGAGAGAAAGACTTACCTACGACCGTTGGTTTTCAAACCGTCGCCCATGTCGTTTCAACCGAGGTAAAGGCTTCGATTTTCTTTAGATCTAGGGTAATCTAAAGGTTTTTAGGGGAAAAGATTATCGGATTTGGCTTTAGGGAGAAAAGGGTTTCGTTTTGATATAGTTAGGTGAACTCCGGCCATCGCGGATGGTGGCCGGCGGTGGGTGTCGATGGTGATTTACGGCGGTCGGCCGGTGACCACCGTTCCTCCAGTGGGAGGATTATAGAGAGAAAAGAGAGGTTCTCTCTCCTGAGAGAGAGAACCAAAGAAGAGAAATGAAGAAATCTGGCCTAAGGGGGTCGGTTTTTGGGCTTATATACCCCTCTCCAAACGACGCCGTTTTGGGGAGGGTACCTGTATAATTTCATAATTGTTAAACCCCTTCTACAGTCCCTCTGTTTTATATGTTTTTCAATCTAGTCATTGAATTCAAATTATAATTATTTTAATTCGTCTCCTTAATTTTATTTATTTTATAATCTAGTCACTGATTTACTTATATAAATTTTAGGCAAAATAACTGAAATAACCATTATAATTCTGTTAAATAATATTATAGTCCCGAAAGCATGTTTTAATTTGATATCCGAATTTTATCTAATTTTATTTTAGTCCCTAAATTAATAATAGGAAAAATAGCATGTTTAGTCACTGAAATATTAAATAATTAATTACTAATTAGATATTTAATCTTAATATATTATAATTTAGTCACTAATTTTAATATTTTCATTACAAATTTTATTACTTTTTATATTTTAAATATATAGTTTTAATTTTATTTATTTTAGTCACTGTTTAGTTATATTTTAATTTCATATGTTTATTTTCAATAAATTTAATTATTATTATCATTGTTTATAGATTTAATTTTATAAATGACTTTTAAGAAAAATAATTATATTTAGATATATATTTATTTTTCAATATTAAGAAAGGGCAGTCTTAAAGCAACTGGATGTCCATTTTCTGATATTTTTAAATAAATAAATATCTTACTTTTATAAATTATATATATTTTTAATTATTTTAGATAAATATTTTGTTAATATTTATTTGTTTTTTAATATTAAGAAAAGAGCTGTCTTAAAGTACCTAGAAGCCCTTTTCTGATATTTTTAAGTAAATAAATATCTTATATATATATATATATATATTAATAGATTTTCTTAAAATTATAGTAATAAATTTGAAATAACAAGATTATAAATTAAATATACCTTCGAATTTTTTAAATTTCTAATAATATAGACAATTTATAATTAATGAGTTCCAATTTTGGGTGTTATAGGGGTGGTAATCCTTCCCTAAACGTAATCGACCACGAATACCTTCTTTACTAAAATTTTTTGGTTATACGCATATCAGTTTATCTTTTAAATTATGTTTTCTTAAAAACTATTTTAAAAGATTATTTTTAGGTATTTGACCTACCTAACCCAAAAGATCAATGGCGACTCCCAAAATATTTTATTTTAAATCATTTATTTATTCTTTTTTATTTTTCCTGCCAAGTAAAATTTCGTGCCCGGGCGAAAACTGGTTTCGACATGCACCATGGCTTATGGTTATTGACGAAAAAGGGAGATAATAGGTAATGAAACAGCATAGTCAGTTAATGCGGTATCTGTCTGCAGGTGCATACAGAAGCATACCTGAATAGCCTGAAGAGCAGTGTGAATGTTGCCATGATAACTGAGGTACCTTGTAGAATTTCCTTACGCAATAATTTTGTTTTTATTTTATTTTTCTGTGAAGTTGCTTTCTTGGATTTTATTTGCTTCATTGCAATTATCAAGTGTGACTTGTGGCTCTGCTTAAGAATAAATTTATTCTCCAAAAATTAGCTTGCTTACTTGGATTTCATTTCTAGTGATTTTGGGTTCATGGGATTTTTATGTTGTGTATACCTTATTAAATATTTTACTGGCTGTGTCTGTTATAATTTGATGGTTTTTGTTGGCTGAGGATTAAATAGTTTCAAACGATGTTATTATACTTCTTAGATTGATTCAAAGTTGTGTTGCGTAGGTTCCTCCTCTAGCTATGTTACCCAATTCACTTGTTCAGATGAAAGTTCTTTATCCCTTCCAAAGGCAGGTGAAGTCATAAACTCATAGTCTGTCTTGGAGCTAATTACATCATTGTCTTTTTTATTGGAGATTGAATTTTATTTCAGACTAGTATTATACTGATAATGTTACTACAGGTGGGTGGAACTGTTCTGGCGGGTAGGTTTGCGTTGGAGCGAGGATGGGCTATAAATATTGGAGGGTTTCATCACTGTAGTGGTGGAAGTGGAGGTGGATTTTGTGCTTACGCAGACATTTCCCTTTGCATTCATTTTGCTTTTGTTCGGTCAAATATATCAAGGTAATAGAATGATTAGATTAAAACTAAAAATGAAGTCTTCGAAATCTTTATATGTCATCATATTCTCAAATACTCGAATGACTACTATCTTTTATTAATCGGCTATTCTCTTTTTACTTTACAACATTTTTTCAGGGTGATGATAATTGATTTAGATGCACGTCAAGGAAATGGTCATGAAATGGATTTTGGTAATGATGGTAAGGATGCTTTACTTTTACTCATGATGCTGTGTTTATTTTTCTTGGATTTTCAATGTTTATGTTTAAATTGGCACTTGGCAGAGCGCGTGTATATCTATGCACATCCCTGAAATATACCCATTTGTAAGTGCTTTCTGTCTAAATTTGTACTGTATCTTCTCTAGTTGAACCTCAACAGCCTCTCTCCTAGACAATAGTTTGTTTTGTCTTTGTAAATGTTGGTATTTTTTTCATTGCTCTATGCAAAGAGTTTTGACGTTCTCTTCTAGAAATATCAATATAAGAGGACATATCACCTCACCTTTTGGTTTTTTTTTCTTTCATTAAATTGCTTCAGGACCTGACCGCTAGAAATTATATTAATCATATGGTTGAAGTGGTGGTGAGCATCTGGCATATTATTAATGAAGTTAGCTCATTGCTGGCGATGTCTTTACTTGGTTTAATTTTGCCATGTATGAACAGACTGGGACTACATGCAACTGACGAGTACTTGAAGCAATTGGATAAAGCACTTGGGGTATAGATTTCTTTCAGCTACCTTCAGCATGCTTCGTTATGCATTTTGGTAGATCTTTTTTAATTATGGTTTCCATATCTGTTGTATTTTCTCCGCCGACACTTATAGATCTTTGCCTGATGTGTTCTTCAGATACGTCCATTTTGGGTATCAGTTTACAAGTTCATTGATTATATACTTTTGCTTTGCATTTCTTTCTCTTTTATGTTTCCCTCTTTCTTTTTATTTACTTGTCATCTTTTATTAATTTCATGTTATAAATACTGTATTAAAATTTCTTCCTATGCTATTACCTCATTGTAGTTATTAGTTGCAAATGCCAGGTAGCGAGGAGTAAATTCACTCCTGAGTTGATTATATACAATGCTGGCACTGATATCCTTGATGGAGATCAACTGGGTGGATTAGAGGTTAAGTTCATAATTGGATCCATTTGCTTAATTTTGTTCTTATTCTTTTTGCCAGTACTTTTTCCTTTTCTACGAGAAGTAAAATTAGATCTTCATTAGACTCGTGCTTTCCGTGAATCCATCATCAACTTAACTTTTGGTAGAGAATTGCCTTTCGGTGGTAGCCCTGGAGAGCAGACTAAATATCATAGAGAATTACCTGTTTTATCTCGTTTTATGTGCTAACATGGTCATGCTGATTCATAAAGATTATGCAGTAATCTCCACTAAGTTGTGAAAGAAAGCCTTTGTTTGTAGTACATTTGGTTCAAAAACCAGTTTTGAATAAAAAAGGGCATTAGACAAGTAGCAATAAGGGTTGTTAGATTATCATATAAAACTTGAGAGAGATTTTTCTTAAATGTTGGTTTAACTCTAGAAATGTCTAGGAAGTTTTTGGGATGCTATTCTTGATGGGCTGATTGGAAGACTCCAAACTATAAGTGCTTACTGTAACCCCACGGACCGATACGGGTGACCCAATCCGATCAGGGGTGTCACATTAAGAACACCAGAGCGACCCACCGTAAGAATCCCGTAAAAATTAAAATTTTTTGTTAAAACATGTAAAAATCATAAAAATAATTTATAAATACAAAAGTAAAATTTATCAATATTCAGAAATAAAACAAATTTCAGACTCGTATATAAAATAAAATACAACCTACATGCCCCCTAATCACATGCACCATACTCCGCAAGCAACGCCGGTGGAACTCTTTTACTGATGTCGATAGCTGCACTGGTTTGATTTTTTTAACCTGGAATGGTGAGTAAAAGAGTGAGCTTTGGGAAGCTCAGTAATATAGAACTATCAATTGATGCTTCAGAACATGCAGATAAATGTAGAACAATAAAAATTTCTTTGTTGAATCAGACGTATACAAGTTTTCGAGATAAGTTGGGGTTCCACTGGTAGTTCATCGAGTAAAAGCCATGAAGATCTCAGTTCATAGGAAATATTCATAGTATCAAGTTTTCAGGAGATCAAAATAGGACGTCTAGTGTGTTCCAACCAAAACCAGTGAAGAGATATAGACATTTTTTAAAACAATAACATTTTAAAACATATTTTTAAAACCATAGTAGAACCCTCCAACTGAACACCTTTATGCAGTTTCCCAGAACTGCATCCATAAGGTCTTACCTTAAGCATACAGCAAAGAAGCCACCTTAAGGGAATGTCTTGGGCCTACCAAAGGGTCACTTTAGGTCCGTAAGGATTTACCAGCTTAATCAGAGCTGAACCTTCATACTCTAGATTCCTACCCATACAGTATCCAATAGAAATCAAATTTAATAGTAAACCGTAATATTTGGATCATGATCCAATAAAATATCATAAACGTGACATTAAAATAAAAATATAACTGCCCTCCACCCGTACACCATATGTAGTCCCATGATTAACCTAAGGGGAATGCCTTGGGGCCTGAGAGCCTACCCAAAAAGGATCTCAGGGCCTCAAAGCCTACTCAAGGGCCACCTTAGGTCCGTAAGGATTTACCAGCTTGATCAGAGCTGAACCTCCATACTCTAATCTACCCAGATAATATCGCAATAAAAATGTTCAAGTAGTAACCAGTAGATTTCATGATCCATAAATCAGAACGATCATATTTTCCAGTGAAAGCAGATAACCAAAGAACATATTTCAAGTAATCATAGTTCATAAACCAGTAAATCGGTGATTTCGGAAAATCTCGTTTAAAATAGTAAAACATTTCAATGTCACATAAGGAACATACTAGAGGATCCAAATATTATTCGGAGATACTTGGTATTTATCAGGTAGAGAACCATGAAACTTTTGTATTTTAATAGGATTTAATTTCTAGTCTAATTAAACTATCCAAACCCAACACTGTGATACTTGCCAATTATTCAGACCGAGGTACTTCACCATTATTCACTTCTTAATACCGATTGCTCTAGTTGAACTAACCACCTTTAAAATCATCGTTGAATTGATCTTAGGGAGACGAACAGATAATATAATGGTATTTATTTCATTTCTATATTGCAACGGTATGAAAAAATGTAGATATGGTTAATTCAGGGTTCCTAACCCTTATGGACATTACAACATATAAGTTCATCAGCATTTCCAGATTTATCCAAGCCATCCACTTAATTCTAGGTCATAGAGGTTACTTAGGACATTTAGTATTCAAGTTTACCCCGATCATTTCAGAGTTTCTAGAGTAATTTGATCGTTTTAACAATTTGGATACGTACATTACTTCCATTCAATGTCATATAATATAGTCATTTCGATGAAATTTGGAGTTGTAAAGTACTTTTGGTAATTTAGCCTCCGGGTGTTCTCTTAGGAAGTAGAAAATTTTAGGTCATTTTGGTATTCGAGGGTAATTCATTCATCTCGGAGCTTGAGGGTATTCAGTTATTCTAGGGCTTAGAGGTACTTTGAGTTATTTTACACTTTAGGGGTATTTTGGTAATTTCTTTTAATCTAATCTTTCCATTTGATTTAATTTTCTAAACAACTCAAACATAAATAATACTCTCGATGTTTTAGTCTTTAGTTTTTTGATGATAATTCAATAATTCTAGGTCTTGTATCTTCTCGAATGTTAGGATCTAGTTATCAGCTACTTTATGAACATATCAGGAATTTAACAGGTGGACCAGTATTGAGTTAATCGATCGACGGAATTAGCCAAGAGGGGGGTGAATTGGCAATTAAAAATTCGGTGGAAGCTTTTGCAGAAAATTGAAAAGATTTGCACAGCGATTTAGAGTGGTTCGACTTTCTCAATCAAAGTCTACGTCCACTACCTTAGCTATCCACACTAAGGATTTTCCAACAAATTCACTAATTTGTTCTTTCTTTTGAGGCCAAAGAGATAACCTTACAATACCCTCAAGAATATACCCCAATTCTTGAGAACACTCTTTTCCCAAAGAGAAGATTACAAATTTGCAAACTTACAAGGAAAACCTCACAAGGTAAGATGTTTGCACAATTCTAGAACAAGAAAAGAACACTCAAAGATAATTACAAATGAGCACAAATGGTGTTCTTGAAAGCAAAATGAATATTGAAAGGAAAATTGGCTTGATTTGCACAAACTTGATGTTTGATGCTTTCTCTCTGTTTCTCTATGATTTCTTGTTGATCAAGGGCTTCAGAACTTGTTTAAATACACCTTGAATCACTTCTGAACATTGGGGATAATTAATGAAGATAATATAGCCGTTTTAGTGTGAAAACAATTAATAAAATAGCTTGGAGCGTGGGGGGAATCGGTTTCCCCTCATAGGGAATCGGTTCCCTAAGTGTAAAATTCAAATATTTCAACCGTTGAACAGGGGGAATCGGTACCCCCTATGGGGGAATCGGTTCCCTCTGAGCATTCTGGAAATCTCGGAGCCAAACCATTCAGGGGGGAATCGGTACCCCCTTGGGGGGAATCGGTTCTCTCTGAGCAATCTGGAATTTTTGGCTTTGAAATGGTTCGAAATACTTTGAAAGATTATTTTGAAATTGTTTTAAGATTAAAACTTAATTTTACACTTAAGTAAGGATTAAAAATGATTTTTGAAATATTTTGAGTAATGTTTTGATATTCGAATAATTATATCGAATATTGAAATATCAAAATGTTTTCAACAATCTCCCCCTTTTTGATATAACAAAACATTTTAGTAATTTTAAGATTTTGAAATCAAGTTTTGAAATTACTCCCCCTTACTTTAACACTTCTCCCATTTATCATTTTAAAACACATTTATCATTTTAAAACACACTTAAAACACACACTTACACTTCTCCCCTTTTTGTTAAATCAAAAAGATTCAAAGAAACATGAAAAACATTTAGCCAATTGATTAGGTATATGTATGCATAAGCTGCTAAGATCACAATTAAGAGAAACGTTAGCCATTAGTTCCGTAATCAATATCATAAATAATGTGATATGGCAAAATTGGTCATATTGCTAATAATGATGTAAATGATGCAATAATAAATAAATCACACCAAACATATAAGTTCAAACCATCCATAAATCCAAACAAATTCACAATCCTCAAATTCAAACATCCCAAAATATTCAAAATGTTAAAACAATAAATTTAGAAAGTAAAACATTTAATCACATATCTGGATCAGGAGGAGGAAAACGAGCTCGCATAGCGGCCATTTCGTTAGTGAGGTCATTAATACGTGCGTTGGTTGCTTCATTATTTGCACGTATTTCCCTAAGAATTTCTAATTGTTGAGCTCCCATTGTGGATAAATGGGACTCTATAGAATTAAAGCGCGAATCCATGGTCGCATATCGGTAATCAAATGTCTCCATAAAAGATTGAAAATATGGAGGCATTTGAGTCGATTGTTGTGCTTGCTCTTCGGGCTGCTCCTTGGGCTGCTCAGGTTCATCTTCAGCTTCATCGATGTCTCG